AGCTTAGCAAAGACAGCCCCAAATACCTGGGGAAACACGTGCTTGTGAATGTTCACTTTCCATGATTTTTAAAATGCAAGGTGGCTGGAGAAAGCAAGCCCTTCACATGTTAGAGCTGTTAATTCTTTTCAATAAAACTAGCTCCTAAAAAGGCCAAGACAAAATCTGAGCTGCACTGTCCGTATGCCCAGGGAAGTGGTGGAGTCACCATCCCTGGAGGGGTTCAAGAAACGTGTAGATGTGGTGCTTGGGGACATGGGTTAGTGGGTTGGGTGGGGTTGGGTTGATGGTTGGACTTGATGATCCTTGAGGTCTTTTCCAACCTCAACAATTCTATGATTCTATGAGTCTATGCACACCTGGTGACAAGCAGCTTTACCCTCGAGGAGGCAGAATCCTTGGCAAACACAGAAGACAAGCTAAACAGAAGTACTGTTTGTTATCTGGAGTTTGAGCCTGTGAGCACATGGGTACCTAAGTGACTTGAAACACCTGAACAGTCTCGCACGTGCTCACAAAGAGCTCGCAGTGGCTCAACACCCAACCCACGCTTCAGTGGATGTAGTGCTGAGGACAGATTCAGACGCAGAGACATTGACTTTCCTCACTGCCATTGTCATTGCTTGGTGAGTTGGGCATAAACTCCCTCCCCAGGTCAGGGAGAACACGAGACCCGTTTTCCCAAGCAGTTTTTGTCAATGTAAGGGATTAAGGAGTAATTTTTGCCCTGACAAGGTCCCATCCCATTTTACACATCGTAGATTGAAGTGCTTCAGAGAACACGCATGGAACTTCACCCATCCTTGCGCTCCTTCCAGCTTTGCACCTAGCGGGTAGATTTCCTACTCACAGAAGTTCACTGAAGACAGAGAGAAGAACAAGGAAAAGGGCAGATCCCAGAAAAGAAGATCCAATTCCTCCACAGCACCTAGAAAGCTGAAGAAAAAACGTACAAACTCACCCATGCAGTCCCTGGAAGTTGGGTCCCAGGGCACCTGGAGACAGTAGAATCAGAGCCGCTATCCATCCATCTCTCCTTTTTTTTGTCTTTTTTTTTTTTTTTTTCCCCCCGTCCGTATGCTGCAGCTATAGCTTATTTGTCTGACAGTTACCTTGTACCTGGTGCTGCGGTATGCAAAGGTTATCGGAATTTATATGCAAAGCTCAATGAATATAGAACTAAAAAATGCCTCGGAGACATTCCTGAAATGAGATGCCAAATCTCAGAAGTTGTATCTTTATGAAGAAAATATGAATACAAAACACCAAGGTTTATGACTCTTGCACATATTAATTCATAACAATCTATGTTGTAAGAGGACTAAAGGGGCCATTTTTCATCTTGGGCTGAGACAGGAACTCTGCCAGATTTACTGACTTGCTGTGAGAAATCTACTTTATCTGGCTGACAGATACCTTCAAAATGCAAATCAGAATGGTGAGCTTCTCACAAGGCTACCATTGGGAGCCCATAAAATGCTTGGTGTTACTGGTCGTAAGAGATTTTTGGGAACGAGGTGAGCAAACTGGTCAGCAAAAACAGACCCTACGTTTGACACTTTATTTTCTGCCTTATATGAAAGTTACCAGAACTGAAATCAAAACAATTTTTATTATAGATCCATCCCCTTGGCAACCAGCAATTGCCATGCCTTTGTGGGAGAGTCTACATCTTAGAAGATACTATTATAATTGTGCAATCTCACAGATTCTTACCTCATCTGTGGCCCAGGTGCTTTGTGTGGAGAGAAAAAGGAAAAGCAGCTGCCCTCTGGAAACCCAAGATGATCTCCTCAAGGAGCCCTGCCCACCCCTGTTCTCTGCCATGTCCTGTAGGTAGCCCTTTGGCTTTCTACTCTGTTTGCTGTGTCAGGAACTGGTCATTTCAGGACTACATTGTAGAGAAACCTAAGACTCATAAGCTTGAAATACCAGTGCTGGCAACAGATCATAAAGCCTAGAAATTTTCTCTGCAGGCAAAAAAATATTTACATGAATACTTTCGACTGCACTCCATAGCTGGAATGACAGCAGCCATGGTATTTCCATCCTGGTAAGGCTGTTCCTGACTGGTAACAGCACACATTGCGCTCTCTGTGTCTCTCGTACACACATGCAAGCACACACAAGCAGATGATGAGCTTTCGAGCCATCCACAGATGGTTTCCCCATCAGAGTTTACTTTGCCATTTAGGTCTCCTGCTTCACAGCCTCCTCTCAGTGCTGCAGTCCCTATTTTCTGTAATTAACTTCTATTCCTCCCCCCATTTTTTTTTTTTTAACAAACGCTTTTCACTCCGATGCTTAGAGTCAACTGTGTCCCCGAAGCGCTGTGATATTTAACAGCATCTGGAAAAAATGTGGTTAGAGAATTGGGACACTTAAAGGAGACACCGCTCTCCTAAGTGTGCATTCACATCTTTGAATAGATGTTCAGAGGGTGGGAGTGTAGATGAGGGAGAAGCTGTGAAAGGGCTTATTACTAATTAACTGTATCTATTTCTTCCCCTTTTAAACTGCTTTTTGTTTATCATTTCAGCTGGTAGGGTAATACACTAAATTAAAGCTGCAGAACACAATTATAATTAAGATTCAAAAAGCCAATTGCCTGTTAGTAAACTCCCAATTGATAATAATGTAAGGGATATTTATAGCTCTTTACCAAGTATGCCACAGATTTGCATCAATAACATACTTGCTAATCTCCAAACATTTTATTCGGTAACCTTTTATTTACTATTAAAGGTAAGATTACTCTTCTTAAGCCATCCTTTCTAAAAGTATCTTGCTTTCATCTTGTTTGCAGAGTTCAGCAAACACAGATGCTCCAGTCCTTTCCTCTCCCGTGAAACAGCGATAATGGTATATAATTACTAACATCACACAGTGCAGGAAACCTTGCCGTAAAGAACGTGCTGTACATAGTTCAGCACTCCTAACATCTTGCATTTTTACAGCTTCTTCTTTCTGAGTCATCTCCCATACTCTATAGCGAAGAAACCAAACCACCTTACCCAAGGGAGGAATCAGCCACCTTCGGGCAGAGCCTCAAACGTGGGGCTCTAATTTTCATTCCTTTCACAGGGAGGTGGAGCAAGACATGTTTAGAGAGTTGAAAAAAAATTACTGAGTGATAGATTTTGTTTTGTGTTTTGTGTGTGTTACTGGGGGATTAACAACTAACCTTCATTATTTCTTTTAATTATTATAAGACATCTGCGCAACTGTCATTTCAGCTGGGTGATGATGTGGAAATAATTGCGACGCAACTTTTTTTGTGAAATGTCTTTCTTGTGTCGTATGTCTGCTAAAGTTTGAGTGGCCTCAGTGATAATTATTGGAGTCATTATGCGACACTGTGTATTATCCCATTGTGCATACAGCAGTAAGAGAAACAGCTTTGGGACAGGCGACTGGCTGCCATCCACTGCTTGGGCACTGGAGGGGCAACTGGTGAAGCACAAGGATGTCTCATCTCTTGTCGCACCATGACTGCTCTTGAAATACAAGTGCCAAAATCTGCAAAGTGCATGACTGAAAAGAGATATGGCATATAGCAAGTACCAAGGACCAGGGATGCAAAGTTACTTGGTGGGGTAATGTAGGTTAAATTGAGGGAAAATGGCCACGTTGGAAATTATAGCTTGAATTGTCCTTGTAGCTACTGCCACAAGTGAGCGTCTTGGAGACTAGAGCACACCATCTTGGCCAAAAGTCCTGGGACATAGAATCGTAGAATCACAGAATGGTTTGGGTTGGAAAGGACCTTAAAGATCATTCAGTGCCACCCCCCTGCCATGGACAGGGACACCTCCCACCAGCCCAGGTTGCCCAAAGCCTCATCCAGCCTGGCCTTGAACCCCTCCAGGGATGGGGCATCCACAGCTTCTCTGGGCAACCTGGGCCACTGCGTCACCACCATCACAGGGAAAAAATTCTTCCTAAGGAAGAAATTAAGACATCCCTTACAAAAATACAACTCTTTGTCAACCTGTCCCTTTCCTCAGTGGGAGAGTGAGGGTTAAACATTCATGGTCTGCCCATGTCTCAGCCATCCTTGATAGCAGGATCTGGGCAAGGGAGAGACAGAAAGAAAACAAGTTTACTTACATCCTACTGAAAAAAAACCAGGAGATAACGGTGCAAAACAAATGGGCAGGATGCCAGAGAGAGCCGTGACTACAAGCAGAAAGGAGTGTGGCGTGAGAGCACGAGGGTGTTGGAAAGCTTGCCAGGAGCCCAAGGTAGCACAGGTTTCCCCTGCATCGCTTCTCTGTAGAGCTAGACACTGTTGTCTTTCCCACAGGTTGGCTGAGCACAGGGTGAATCCAGGTGACGGCTATGTGCGTGATTTCTGCTTCCCGTGCTGCCTATCAGGAATTTTATAATGGCTGGGCAAGTGAACCGACTCGCCCCAGGACTGGCCATATAATTACATGGTCATTACTAATCACATTACTAAAGAATAAATACACAGTTATTTTTATCTCTAAAATCAGCTCTTTCAGCCCTGAGACTAATTCCACATTATTACTCAGCAGTATGTAATTTTTATAAGACAGCTTCTACCCTCAAAGAAAGAGGCACTATTCCAAATGAAGTATTTCAGATTTTAAGTAAGCCATGCAATCTGAAGGCAGGATTTGTCCTCTATCAACTACTCAATCAAAATCATAAAACTTTAACAAGAAATTATGTAGTCATAAGACCCTATGACCAGGCATCAGCACTATCAATTCCTATCCCATTCAGATTTGGAACTAAACCAACTTTTTTTTTAGAAATAAATGCATTAAGTGGAGAAACATGTTGCTATAACACTTCGCCATCCCACCCCAGAATGCTGATGGCTCCAGGTGTGACTCCTGAGAGGAGGCACTGCGAAGTCTCTCTGGAGGTGGATGTTGGGTAAAACATAAGAGGAAAGGTAACTATATCGTAACTGCTGATGTTCCTTGTAACTCTTTTCATTTCTTGCAGGTACTGTTGCGTGATTTACCATGGAAAAAGTGCTCTGCAGCATCCTGGTGTTTGGAATGGCTGTCATGGTCAATGCTTGTCCCAAATATTGTGTCTGTCAGAACCTGTCTGAGTCTCTGGGGACTTTGTGTCCCTCCAAGGGTCTCCTGTTTGTACCACTAGACATAGATCGAAGGACTGTTGAACTCCGACTTGGGGGCAACTTTATTATTAATATCAGCCGACAGGATTTTGCCAATATGTCTGGACTTGTTGACCTGACTTTGTCCAGAAACACCATCAGTTACATACAGCCCTACTCCTTCACTGACTTGGAGAGCCTCCGGTCTTTACATCTGGACAGCAACAGGCTACCTGACATTGGAGAGGATATTTTGAGAGGCTTAATTAACCTTCAACATTTGATTTTAAACAACAACCAGCTAAGCAGCATCTCTGATGAAGCCTTTGAGGATTTTTTGCTGACATTGGAAGACTTAGACCTTTCCTACAATAACCTTCGAAGCATTCCCTGGGAATCTATAAGGAAGATGATAAACTTGCACCAGCTCAGTTTGGATCATAACTTGATAGATTATATTACAGAAGGGACATTTGCAGATCTTCAGAAATTAGCCAGATTGGATCTTACATCCAACAGACTCCAGAAGCTCCCCCCTGACCCTATATTTGCTAGATCTCAAGTAATTCCATTAGCAGTCACCCCGTTTTCTCCACCTTTGTCACTCAGCTTTGGGGGCAACCCACTGCATTGCAACTGCGAGCTACTGTGGTTAAGGCGACTCGACAGAGATGACGATATGGAAACTTGTGCTTCTCCTCCAGGTCTAAAGGGAAGGTACTTCTGGTACGTACGGGAGGAAGAATTTGTTTGTGAGCCTCCTCTTATTACCCAACATACTCACAAGTTGCTGGTTTTAGAAGGGCAAACCGCCACGCTGAAATGCAAAGCCATCGGGGACCCCATCCCCATCATCCACTGGGTGGCCCCTGATGACCGCCTCATCGGGAACTCTTCAAGGACAGCTGTCTATGACAACGGCACCTTAGATATCCTCATCACCACCTCTAAGGATTACGGGACTTTCACGTGCATAGCAGCCAACGCTGCCGGAGAGTCCACGGCCACGATTGAGCTCTCCATCGTCCAGCTCCCCCATCTCAGCAACGGCACGGGCCGAGCAGCCCCACCGAAATCCAGGCTCTCAGACATCACCAGCTCCAGCAAGTCAAATCGTGGAGAAACAAAAAGCCCACCAGAAAGGGCTGTCCTGGTGTCAGATGTGACCACTACCTCAGCTTTGGTCAAGTGGACGGTGAGCAAGTCGGCCCCTCGGGTAAAAATGTACCAGCTGCAGTATAACTGCTCGGATGACGAAGTCCTGATCTACAGGTAAATGCAATTGCTGTTTTGTCCTCTGACAATAGCAGGGTGAAGAAAGCAGGACACAGAGTCTTTTACTCTTAGGTCACTGGTTTGACTTGGAACCGAGGTAGCACCTCCACTGCCACCGCTGGCATTAGTGGTCTCTGATAGATTTGTGTCATGTCTGTTAGTTTATCTGTTGGTCTGTTCATCACTTTTCTAAGTCATACATTACAAATCTCTATAGTATTCATTCTCTACCAACAGTTGTTTTCCATAAAAACTTCCAATTTAGGAAAAAATAGTACTGCAGTTGGTAACCTCCTTACTAGGTTTAACAAAGAAAGAAAAACTTGACAGGCTAGAAGTCAGAAGTTTCCTCTCCACCTCCTGTAGGTGGGATTGAAACATACTACTGAGAGAGGAAGCAACGTGGGAGGAAGTTTGTGCTGTCTACCCGTAACACAGGCTCTAATTATTCTGTGATTCGAGATTCGGGGTTGTTAGCAAGAGATTTTTCACCTGCATGAAAAGGCTTGTTTCTGACTTCACTAATGTCTGTTTTACACAACTGTAATGGCTGGCAGCTTGGGAGTATTTAATGTTTTCTACTATATTAAAGGCAAGAAGAGATAGAGATGATTTCAAAAGCAAGCCCCGAATGTTCATTATGCTCCTCCAGTTCTCCAACTGCTTTGACTTTTAACGTTGTAAAGCAAGAGTCGCTCTTGCAGTGAACCTAAGAGTGAAAAAGCAAAAGCAATAGATGTTGGGGATGGATAGGAAACTCCTTAA